ATCGTTGGTGACTATTTGGAACGGGCTTGAATTCAATGTTTGGAGAGGCCAGAACGTAGACCAGACTTAAACCCTATCTACACTTTTGGGACGAGTTGTCAAAGAGGGTAAAAAGTCGCACAGTGATACCAGAGAATGAAGAATGGCCTGTTGAAAATATTCCACAGCACTACATTCAAAATTTCATAAAAATCGATGCCATGTCGATTGTAAGCGGTGATAAAAGCAAGAGGAGGAAATACTCCGTAATGAGTGTACGGAACATACATATATCATCACATTACATTCCACACATCAAATATTTTTCACATGGTCTAATTTCCCAACAATTTAGCTTTCTTTTTCCTATTTATCCCTTTCTATATAATCCTGAAAGGATAATCTGGCCGAACCATTACCAACACATTTTTTCCCTTCGTCGGTCCTTTTCACCTCAAAGAAGTCGACGCCTTATACAAAAATGTCTTTTCTATACCGACTTCCTTCCCCACCCCTTCAAAATCCGACGTATATAAACACAAAATAGCAAAATCTCACCTCTCGACACGACACGCAAGAATGGCACAATTACACAGAAGACAAACACTTTGAGTGAGTAGAAATACTTTGATTGAATATATATTATATATATATATATATATATATATACTTTTTTCCATTGTATAAATTCACTTTTCCACATCCAAAATGTATTTGTTAAATGTAAACAATGTTTGTAAATCCCAGGCCCTGAAGATGATCTCAATAAAGGTCGAAACGTTGGCACGATAAAGAAAATGTTTTTCTGAAACCTACATCACACCAGACCGCATCTCACGATTTCTAAATAACTAAACTCCGTACTGAATGGCGTTTCCTTCATTGGTCAATATACCTTGCTGGTCTCTTTTTTTAGTCCTCGGTGCATATGTCTATATCTCGAAATAATTGCTATCAGCTTTTAGTATTGACTTACTAATAAGAAAATGAGGGATTATAAAACACCAACATTTTATTCCTTCCCCAAGCTTGCATGGATGCTTAGGATGGATCCTCCTTCATCAGAACATTGAAACTATTTTTATTAATAGTTTATAATAGTCTATAAGAACAAAAATGATGGCCTACTTACAATTCTGAAACTTGTGGTTTTAAACATAGTGAATTACGTGTGTGGTGATTAGTGACCGTTAATCGATATTTATTTAGAAATCGTGATCCAGACCTCATCTCACGATTTGTAAATAAATAGTGAATTACCGAGTTGATAAAGGAACGAGGTTTAACCCTTCCATTCTAAATAGACGTAAGTTTTATCAGTATTTTATGTATTATGGGTTCACTTAATTCAGGAATTAAGAATGGCGCTGTTGGAGGAGTATGAACATATTCCAAAGCCATACATTTAAAAACCTCATAAAATTTATGCCACGTCGTATGCAAACGGTGATCAACGCAAGGGGAGGAAATAATCCTTACTGAATTGAATATTTTCTACATTCTAATTAATTAATCTTTATGTAAGGTATTGGTTGAAATGAAAAAGGTAGAGTCACGAGTGGGACACGCACGCTGAATACGCCGCTGCTCTACCACTTGAGCTATCGTGACTTCGATCCACTCGGACCACATCTCAACCTACAACCTTTCGAATTTTCCTTCCTCTTTGCCATTTTTCAAGCCGAAGGTCGTGAGTTCGAATCCCACTCGTGATACTAACTTTTTCATTTCAACCAATACCTTACATAAAAATTCACTAATTTCGTGGTCCGCTTGACCAATTAATATATTACAATTAATTAAGGTTTTTATTTGAGATAAAAAAGTCAATGGTACGAGCGGGATTCGAACCCACGATCTTCGGCTTGATACGCCCGCTGCTCTACCACTTGAGCTATCGTGACCTCGATCCACTCGGACACCAACTTGAAAAATTGGAGGGAAAAGGAGGGAAAATTCAAAAGGTGGGGTTGAGATGGGTAGTTGATGTCAGAGTGGATCGAGGTCACGATAGCTCAAGTGGTAGAGCAGCGGGCGTATCAAGCCGAAGATCGTGGGTTCGAATCCCGCTCGTGCCATTGACTTTTTTATCTCAAATAAAAACCTTACATAAAAAGATTAATTAATTGAAAGAAGTTATTTGGTCTATCGGGCCACGAAATACAATATTGTTATTGTTTTCATAGCGACATTTTTCTTAACATAGCTTTACTCAGCTTAATTTTTCCTTAGCTATATATTACATTTTTATTTAAAAACGTTCAGTAAACAAAAAAAAGTATAACGTTTGCAAGTATTTACTAAAAAATGAGGTTCGCCACTACTTTTGCCTCTCTGTGTATATAAACTTAAAAACTACTTAAACTGCTAGTTTATATTAGGGTTGAAATGAACATAAATATAAGTCGAATTGGGTGAGAAACAACGCAGAAAGAGATAAAGGATACTAATAGAAAAGTATTGTAAAATGGATAGAAAAAATGAGCGAAAGATTTGTGTTGTGTATTTGGCAAAAGTGTGTAAATTAAAAATAAAAAGTTTTCATACAAACAAAATGGACAGAGGAAAAATAAATAGTTAATTGATCAACAGTTGATTAATTAGCTATATAAATAGATTTTTGAATGAATAGAGAATGAGAGAGAGAGAGAGAGAGAGAGAGAGAGAGAGAGAGAGAGAGAGAGAGAGAAGAGAGAGTGTTTGTGCATAATGAACGAATTTCATGGCTTAAAAATATTATTAATATTATGCAACGTACATTCTTCAGGAGTTATGCCATGTTAATATGATATATTAGTAAAAACAAGAATTTACTAATTGCAGAAGAAAAAGTAGAGCAAACCGACAGAGAAGAAAAGAACCCAGGGAAGAGGAAACATTGATACCAGAGTTGGGCAAAATCTAACTAATTCCATCATGATTAAGAATTTTGATTGAAGTTTATCAATTATTGAATTAGTCAAGAGTAAATTAATCATTATATGATTTAATCATAATTAATTCAATCATGATTAAACTTCAATCAAAATTCTTAATAATGATTGAATTAGTTTGATTTGGCCCAACTTTGGCTACAATGACCAACTTACCAAAATCCAACCGACTCCGGATAAAAATTTTGAGATGAGAGTCGTGCTCAAGGCCAACCTTCAAAAATTGTTACCATAAACGAAAACCAAAGTTACATAATTATTCTACATGTCTATTTTATTACAATCAAGACACCTAGATGGTGTATTTTCCAAATAATGCAGAAATCTCTCCTTTTAAGTGGAATAAATTTTAATTCAAAGAAATATTTTTTCCATTGATCGGTTATGTAAACATATTTACTTTTCAAAGCGTAGCTTGTTCTAGGATTTTTTAAATTTTATTTTATTATTAATATTATCATTATTTTTTGCCTTTTCATAACAACGGAGTTTTACTTATAATTGGAAGATTGATTTTTGTTAAATAAGGTGTCGAAGGATTTTCGTTTTGATGAAATAAATTTCTGTTAGAAATTTTTTTTAAAGTGTTGAAGTGTATTTTTAATTTTTTGAGCACCCATTTGAACACGATTTATCGAAATTTAGTCATGACTAACTATATTGTGACTAAATTAGTCATGCCTCGTAGATAATTACTAGTCATGACTAATTTAGTCAATTCTAGTCTAGATCTAATTTAGTCTAATCATCACATATGGCGACTAATGACTAAATTAGTAACTTACTACCAATCATGACTAACGGTCTGAGTGATCAATCATTAATCATTAGACATGACTAATTTTTGCCCAACACTGATTGATACATAGATAGATTGATAGATTCATAGGTAGAGAGAGATATAGAGGAAGAGAGAGAGAGAGAGAGAGAGAGAGAGAGAGAGGGAGAGAGAGAGAGAGAGAGAGAGAGAGAGAGAAAGAGAGACAAAGGGTATGTTTTCAAGAATTATTGTTGTTGTCCTGTTCCTAATGGCCATAATGAACGAATTTCAAGGCTTCAAAAAATACATATTATTATAGTTCACAACCTAATATAAAAAGATAAACTATAAATTCATTATGGCGTGTGCTATAAACAAAAATTTACATGTAAATCATAACGGAGAGTAAAAAATATGAGCAAAACCAGCCTAGAAGAAAAGAACCAATATGAGAGGAGGGATATATTGATATGTAGGAGAGAGAGAGAAAGACAAGAGGAGAGGAAGTTAAAAAAGAAAGGCTATAAGTGGTGAGTAAGAGTGATAGTTGGATAATTTTGTTTTATTTGATTAAAAAACAATAATAAAAACAGGAAAAAACGACAGAGGGCCTAAAAAATTAAAAATAAATAACAGAGAAGGAATGAAATGAAGGAATGGAAGAAAAACAAATAGAGGGTTGGTCAACAACACATATGAACTTTCTTCTGCAAATTAATGAATCTGCAGCCAAAAATGATTGTGGTTCGTATTAATGATCCGTGTGGATAATTATCGATCTATTTGTGCGTTAGAAATATTTTATCTTGTGATAATTGTGAAAATTCGTGAAAAGGAATGTCTCTAATTTTGAGTGAAGTGTCCGAATTCTGGTGAAATAATATTTTCGGTACAAGGCGTGACCACTTTGAATCCGATACAAGACCTCGTTTTCTATTTTCGTACTGACAGGACGGGACACCGGGGTCTATTTTCGTCGGGAACAAATTTGTCACTATTTCGCATTTTCGCGTGCGGTTTTTTAAAAATAGATTATAGTTTTCTGGGTGATATTGTCAAACGAAGTTGAAATGGTTTAAAACTAATGTTGAAAAGTTAAAATTAGTTGAGGGAGGAATGTTAATGGATGTAAAATGTTCAGATCTGTTCATATTGTATTTGTATATATTACCTTTTAAAACAAGTCTGTTTATAATGAAATATTGTAAAATGTGACTTGAAAGCCTTTTTTTATGAATTTGAGCAGGATTAAGTCGTTTAAAAAAATAAAATAGTTTTTCTGTCTGCTGTGTTCTTTTTCTATTTTTTTTTTAAATTTTCTGTTTCAGCCGTACAGAACGACACCGCTTGTCCTGCCAGGTGCCAAGGTGAAGAAGGATTTCGGACCGACGGAATCGTACTTGAGACACCATCCGAACCCGACTTTCCGACAGGCTGCACCCCATCCTCTCCTTCCTCACGAAATTGCGATGAAACAAAGGGTACATTATTTCAATTATTTGTTTAAAACAAAACCCCAGACTATTTGACCATAAAAGGGGTCGGAAATAATGAAGACAAAATCTTTTTTTGACAAGTCCTATTTATTGAAAAGGAGAAAACTCAAATTTAAACGTTTCACGCAGGTTGCAGATACCGTCTTGCAGAAAATCGAGGAACAAGTAGGACCTGGCGTTCAGGTTAATCACCCAAAAAATTTGTTTTATTAAAAAAAATCATTAAAAACCCGATTGGCTTAAACTGCCTGTAATATGCATGTTGCATCCTCTAAAATCGAAAAACGTATTTCGACAAAGTTTGTTCTTTTGTTTTTTATAAATCAAAAATACTCTGAACATTAGAAAACAACACAATTAAAAAATTAAAAAAGACATATGAAAAGCAAAAACAAACAATTTTACAAAAAATTGGAACAATAACTAAAACCGATTTTACCTCCCCAGACGGATAACAAAGAATTTTTAATGAGAAAGAGTTTGCTTGAGTGTTTTTTGTTTTCTTTTTTAACAAATCAAAAACAAACTCAATTATTATTTTTTTTCAATTTTTTTACAGATCTCTCACAAGCAGTTTAACTCACCCATCGGCCTGTACTCGGAGCAGAACATAGTCGACACGATCAACGCACAGACAGCACCAGCGTAAGTATTTAAGCAGTACAACTTTAAAATCAAAGTCAAATAAATTGCAGGACTTAGAATTTTTTCTCAAATTAGCTTGTTTTTAAAGAAAAACTAGAAAGGAAAGAACCTGTATTCTAATCATAACATGGTAAAAAATCTCTTCATCATCAACCGTGTCATGTTAAGTTTATTTAATGAAAAATTGAATAAATATCTGAAAATTTCCTACCTTTACCATACCGATATAATAATCTTAATAATTATTACTGTAACTTTAGGAAGACAGATGGAAGTTTAATTTTTTATTTATGTATTAAGTTCACGTCATTAAGGTTGTTGGCAATAAAAACTGTCATGATCTATCAATATTGCCTTTATTTTTTTCAAGTCTTAAGGGAAAATGCATAAGTTTTATAATTCCAGCTATACTGCCACGAAAAATCACCCCTTTTTGAGTTGTGTCACGTTTCTTGCATATTCACTCTCGGCATTTAATTTATGTCGTTTGCTCTAACATTAATGTTGGACAATTATTATTAATTGACGTATTAATTTATACTTGATAGTTACATACAACATACAAACCTAACAAACTAGCATAAATTTCCATGTAGTAAGTTTTACTAAGATTATTTTTGACTCAAATGGGCTTTCCACCTGTTGTCAGGGCTACTTATTTATTTAAAATATAAAATTAATTATTGAAATAAACCTTTTTATTATTTGTTAAAAATAAATTAATAATTAATAAGTTCGGATTTCGACCTATTTTAAGGTCATCATCAGGGCCTATATTAATTTCACATTGCGATAAACATATTTGTACAATTGATTTAACAATTAACTATTTTTCATAATGTGAATTTAATACAGGCCCTGATGAAGATCTTTGAATAGGTCGAAAGCTTTGCAGTAATAACTGAATCTGCTTTTTTGTTTAAGACCTGAAATTCTGAAATTATTTCCTACTTACAATGAAGAGAAAAAGGCAGCATAAAAACTAGGAATTGCAATCTTCTTTTTTCCCATAAAACATAATTGTATTAATTCAGTGTTTACAATAATTTGTTTTACTAAAACATTTTTTGACCGCAACGTTGAAGCTGAGCATTGATGCTTCCCAGATTTGTTAGTGAAATCTGAAGAGCCAGGACTATTGTCAGTATAGGTCATACGGTTCTCCTGATTACCTGTTAACAAAGTGCAACGAGAAGATCCAATATCCATAACACTTTGCCCTAAAGTAGTTGCCAAAGAGGTAGAATTTGAAAACTGACATACATCATAACCATAATTGACAGCAGTTTCCTTCTTGTTGGTTGTCTACGAATTTATAATCAGTTTGTCCACGTGATGAAAGTTTTTTTTACAAATATTTAAAATATATATGTAATAAATTATATATAATGTGCAAATAAACTCTAAATCATGAATGCATCGAAAAGATGTGTCGGTTATTAGCAGAGACCGGTTTTTTATGCAGTAAAAATTGCCAATTTATGCCATAAAATATGTAGTTGAAAGCCCTGAAATATGCAGTATTAATACGTTAAAATATTCGATGATATGCAGTAAAGTAGTTTTTTTACTCTCATAGTAACTTTAAACAAAATTATAGATAATTAAATGAAATAGATATTAAAACTTTTTTTCTACGAGGTTATTTCAACTACGAGGTTATTTGAACCATCGGGGTGCCGGTATTTTTGAAAGAAAGCCCATTTGTATGTCGGCGTCCAGCGGGCCTGCATTCGAACCCGGGACCTTTACAGTGATGAGCCTAAACCGTTGGGATCACCGACGTGCCCCAGAGTTTATTTACATTTAACTAAAACATTTCCTCACTTGCATAATTAAAGTATATATTTTATACTAATTGAGTATGAGTATTGAGTATTGAGTCTAATATGCGATTTTGTTCAAATATGCAATTTTATGCGATATTCATCAAATATGCAAAAAATATGCAAATATGCTCTATAAAATTTAACCTACATCTTCCTAGATACATGATTCGGATAGATAATTGATTTCTGACTGATTCAGTTTTCTTCGAATTAAACCAAATTTTTGTCAACTTGTTCTTTTTTTTACAGAACGTTTTTATGCTTCGCCCGAAAACTAATATAATTTTTTAAAATATTTTGCGCGAAAAATGCGATTTTACGTAAAAATCCTTCAAATATGCTCTATAAAATTTAACCTACAACTTCCTAGATACATGATTCGGATAGATAATTGATTTCGGACTGATTCAGTTTTCTTCGAATTAAACCAATTTTCGTCAACTTGTTCTTTTTTTACAGAACTTTTTTTATGCTCCCCCCGAAAACCAATATAATTTTTTTAAATATTTTGCGCGATAAATGCGACTTCACGTAAAAATCCTCCAAATATGCAATTTTATGCGATATTCATCAAATATGCAAAAAATATGAAAATATGCTCTATAAAATTTAACATACATCTTCCTAGATACATAATTCGGATAGATAATTGATTTCTGACTGTTTCAGTTTTTTTCGAATTAAACAAAATTTTTGTCAACTTGTTCTTTTTTTTACAGAACGTTTTTTATGCTTCCCCCGAAAACCAATATAATTTCTTTTAAATATTTTGCGCGATAAATGCGATTTTACGTAAAATCCTTCAAACATGCAATTTTATGCGATATTCATCAAATTTGCAAAAATATGCAAATATGCTCTATAAAATTTAACCTACAACTTCTTATATACATGATTCGTTTAAATAATTGATTTCCCACTGATTAAGTTTTTTCGAATTAAACCAATATAATTTTTTTAAATATTTTGCGCGATAATTGCGATTTTACGTAAAAATCCTTCAAATATGCGATATTGTTCCAATATGCAATTTTATGTGATATTCATCAAATATGCAAAAATATGCTCTATAAAATTTAACCTACAGCTTCGAAGATATGTGATTGGGATAGATAATTGATTTCTGACTGTTTCTGTTTTCTTCGAATTAAACCAAATTTTCGTCAACTTGTTCTTCTTTTTACTGAACTTTCTTATGCTTCTCACGAAAAGCAATATAATTTCTTTTAAATATTTTCCGCGATAAATGCGATTTTACTTAAAAATCCTTGAAATATGCAATTTTATGCGATTCATCAAATATGCAAATATGATCTATAAAATTTAACATACAGCTTCCTAGATTCATGATTCGTATAGATAATTGATTTCTGACTGATTCAGTTTTCTTCGAATCAAAGCAAATTTTTGTCAACGTTCTTTTTTTTACAGAACGTTTTTATGCTTCGCCCGAAAACCAATATAATTTTTTAAAATATTTTGCGCGATAAATGCGATTTTACGTAAAAATCCTTCGAATATGCGATATTGTTCGAATATGCAAATATCTCTATAAAATTTAACCTACAGGTTCCAAGATACGTGATTCGGATAGATAATTGATTTCTGACTGTTTCTGTTTTGTTCGAATTAAACCAAATTTTCGTTAACTTGTTCTTTTTTTATTGGACTTTTTTATGCTTCACCCGAATACCAATATATTTATTTAGAAATCGATTAACGGTCACTAATCACCACACAAAATACCAATATAGTTTTTTTTTAAATATTTTGAACGATAAATGCGATTTCACGTAAAAATCCTTCGAATATGTGATATTGTTCAAATATGCAAATATGCTCTATAAAATTTAACCTACAACTTCCTAGATACATGATTCGGATAAATAATTGATTTCTCACGGATTCGGTTTTGTTCGAATCAAACCAAATTTTCGTCAACTTTTTTTTTTACAGAACTTTTTTTATGCTTCCCTCGAAAACCAATATAATTTTTTTAAATATTTTGCGCGATAAATGCGATTTTACTTAAAAATCCTTCAAATATGCAATTTTATGCGATATTCATCAAATATGCAAATATGCTCTATAAAATTGAACCTACAACTTCCTAGATACGTGATTCGGATAGATAATTGATTTCTGACTGTTTCTGTTTTCTTCGAATTAAACCAAATTTTCGTTAACTTGTTCTTTTTTTATTGAACTTTTTTATCCTTCACCCGAATACGAATATAGTTTTTTTTAATATTTTCCGCGATAAATGCGATTTTACGTAAAAATCCTTCGAATATGCAATTTTATGCGATAGTCATCAAATATGCAAATATGATCTATAAAATTTAACCTACATCTTCCTAGATATCATGAGTCGGATAGATAATGGATTTCCTCGGTCGTATTTGGTGGCAAAGAAAATTTGTAACTGCATAAAAATCCAGTTTATAGCTATTAGTAAGTTATAAATTGCAGTGACAAAACTAAATATGTGACTCCAGATGGTCCTTTACTAAATGAGACGAAAACTGGCCAAATTCGAAACGTGCCACTTTTACTGATAAATACTCACACTGATGCTTTAAAGCTCGACACAGAACTTTTGCCATTTTTCGTGAATGGAGACAGTTTGTTCGCACCATTTAAAAAATGACACATGATACGGCATAGCAGCAAAGAGTCCACCTATAGGCCGTTTTTACTGTAACATCGCACACCGTAATACTTAAAAAAAACCACTAAATAATCCATTTTTAAAATTTTTTCGACTTGTGCCACTTTTCTTGTGGGTGTATGATATATATTTTGTGGCCAGATATTAGATCTTTTTTCGAATACATATTGATTAGTCCGTCTTTTTGTACTGAAAGTAAAAATCCAAGAAAATAATAGTAAAAGTAAACGCAGGGTGGGGGAGTATTACTGCGAGATTTGATCGTCTAGTTCAAATGAATAAAAAGTACAAATAATATATTTTAAAATAAAATAAAATATAAACCTTAATGAGTAGCTGAAGCCCCCATTTTTTTACCCGCTGGTTTGTTGTTATACACACTTTTTACTCTCCCAGCTATCGATTTATAGGTGATTTCGTTCATAATTTGGACATCTATGTATTATTATATTTTCGACATACGCTATTTGTTCTTCTAGCAGCGTAGATTTACCCTTTTACACAACATGGCTCAAACGTTCAAAAGAAAATTGGCCAATTTGTACAAATATGTCAATAATTAGATTTCTCTTTATTTCAGCGTAAAGAAGACAGTGGTGTTCGACCCGGTCAAGTCCGAAACTTACAAAGCTCTTCATGACCAGGAAGCCGATTACGCCCAGGAAGTCACGCCTATTCCAACCAGAGTCTTCACACCAGTCAAGGTATGTTGATTTTTTATGAAAACACAGATAAAATACAATAAAGCTTATAACGCCGCATTAACGACATGAAACGCTTTTTTGCTTTCGCCATTTAAGAAACCGATTCCAACGCCGCACGTAAGTTCATGCTTTTGTTATTGGTACGTTGTCATTTTTCCGATGAAATTTTTAATTATGTGCATTTTGTTTTCTACAGCCTAAATCTGTGCCTCACCCTGTACCAGCTCCACATGCGGTAAGCACTTCATTTTTTCTGATTTTCTTTAAAGTATAAATTATTCTATATTAATCTTTATGTAAGGTATTGTTTTATATAAAAAAAAGTCAGTGTCACGAGCGGGATTCGAACCCACGACCTTCGGCTAAATACGCCGTTGCTCTACCTAAAAAGGAAGGAAAATTGGAAAGGTGGGCTGAGATGGGAGTTGAGTCCGAGTGGATGGAAGTCACGATAGCTCAGGTGGTAGAGCAGCGGCGTATTAAGCCGAAGGTCGTGGGTTCGAATCCCGATCATGACACTGGCTTTTTTATTTCGACCAATACTTTACATAAAGATTAATTAATTCATATAAGTTATTTGCCCAATCGGACCACGAAATCTAATGGATTATTCTATATGTGTATGAGTTGTTTATCATATGTTACTTTCTATTTCTCGTTTCATTTCCAAATCGAATATTTACCTCTCGGTTTCAGCTTTCCTCTCTTTGTCTCTCTGTCACACTCTCTCTATCTCGCTCCTCCTTCCCTCTCACTCTCTCACTCACTCTAACCATCACTTACCAACCCCCTAACTCCATCAATCTTTATTCCTCTTTATCTCCTTTTCCCCATCTCTGCTATCTATCTATCTTCTTCTGCGCGGCTAAATAAAAGCTATCAGTCAGTCGAACCCTCTCCCAAACGTAATATTCACTCTCCCTCTCTCTTTCTTTCTCACTCCCTCCTTCCCTCTCTCTTCTCTCTCTCTCTCACTCTAACCATCACTTACCAACACCGTAACTTCATCAATCTTTATTCCTCCTTAACTATTTTTCCCCATCTCTTATATCAATCTTTTTATCTCCCTCTGCGCGGATAAATAAAAGCTATCAATCAGTTGATTACAGTACACTCATTCCGTTTGGTCGGTGGAGTACTTGATATTCCTCCACCGACCTATACTCAAACTAATCTGGATTGGGGTCGATGGAGTACTTTTATAAATATTCACACTCATACGATCTCAGCGTTCGAAGGGCGATGATGACGTCATATTTCACGCTCACCCCTCGCCATTCACGCTAATAAATACATGCACTCAGACAAAACATATAGACACAACACATAAGTCATATTATATACAATAAAAAAAACCCAATTTCTTGTAAAAAGCGGAACAGGGGACTTTGAAACTCACTACCGTGTTAAGAAGAAGAAAAATAACTTTATTCTGGGACTGGTGTCCCCTAAGAATAATTTACATGAAATAAATAAAAGAAGTTCCTTCTATGAAGTTAAAAGTAAAAAAAAAGATAGAAATCTTGGAACAATGTATACCAATAAGGCAGGACTGAAGAAAAAATTACGAGAATATTAAACAAAAATAACAAATGTTAACGTGAGGTCTCTGCTTGGAGGGAGAGGAGGTGATTATAAAGATGGGATTTAAAGGAGGAAAAGGAGGCAGCGTGACGAATAGAAAGGGGAAGGGAGTTCCAGAGTTTATGGGCTCGGATCAGAAATGATCTTTCGAAGGTATGGGTTGTATGTTGCGGAAGGATAAGGTCGATTGGGGATGAGCGGGTCTTACGAGTGAGATGTGAGGAGTTGAATTGGAGGGATTGGATGATGTAAGGAGGACGACGAGTGTGGATGGACTGGAAAAGAAAGCAACCTAGGAAATACTGTGCACGGAAGGAGGGGAATAGCCAGGAAAGTTGGGAATACAACCCCGACACCCGGGATCCCCGTGGGGTGCCGTACACAAATCTTACGCAACAATTCATAATACGCTTCAATCGCGCGTTCTCCCCCTCCGAGAGACCACCGTATGCCAAACAGCTATAATCGAAGAAGGGAAGTATAAGGGAAGGTACAAGGAGTTTGCGGGTGGAGAAAGGTAAGAGAAACCAGGACCGACGAAACAGGCTGAGGAAGGCAATGGAATGGCGGGAAATTTGGGAAATGTGAGAATGCCAGGAAAGGTTTTGGTCAAAGACAACTCCTAGTTTTTAACAGAAGGGCAGAAGGGGATGGGATGGTTATTTAGCATGAGAGGTGGGATGCTGGGGAGGGAATTGAGGAGTTGCCTGCACCCGATAATTATGGCGGTGGACTAGGGAATTTTTATGGGCCCATTTGTTGATGGAGTTTATGTCTTTTTGGATCTTGAGAATGGCCGAGAAGATCGGAAGGGTGGAAGGATATGTATATTTGGGAGTCATCGGCATATAGGTGATAGTTACAGGACTGGTTGAAGTCGGGTAGAGCATTGGTATAAATGGAAAAAAGGATAGGAGAGATGCTAGAGCCTTGGGGCACCCCAGATTTTAGAGGGAGGAAGGAGGAGGTAAGGCCATTGGGAAGGGAGACAGCTTGGCGGCGATTGGTAGCTGGCGGAGAAGGAAAAAGATTCGAGTTTAGAGAGGAGAGAAGAGTGAGGGACAGAATCGAAGGCTTTAGAAAAATCAAGAAGGACAAGTAGAGAAACTTTCCGTTGGTCCATTGCTAAGTGGAGGTCACTGGTAATTTTTATTAGTGCTGATTGGGTGGAATAACCTTGGCGGAAGCCAGATTGGAGGAGGTTGAGAAGATGGGACTGTTCAAGGTGCCTGGAAACTTGTGCTTGGACTAATCTTTCTAGGGGCTTGGACAGGTTTGAGAGGATGGAAATGGGACGGTAGTCTTTAGGGGAGGATGGGTTGGGGGTTTTATTGACGTAGACAAGATATTTTTGCCAGGCTGTCGGAAAAACAGAGTTTTGGAGTGAGTAGTTATAGATGTGAAGTAGAACAGGTAGTAATATTGGGAGGCAGAGTTTAAGAAAATGGATAGGGATGCCATCAACTCCAATGGCATTGGAGTGGGATTTGGTTATGGCCTCGAGGACTTCGGCTGGAGTTAGATAGGAGAAACCGTACCGTGTGCTTCTTAAGTCCGGCGGCATGCCTACATGCTCTCTGTATGGAGCCAAGTCATGACACGCCTCTATTATGTGGGACACATCGAGCAACCTTTCTCTGCATAAGGGGCACCTGCGCGGGTTTTGGCCATACATACTATTCTCTCTCTCTCTCTCTTTCTCTCTCTCTCACACACACACACACACACACACACACACACACACACACACACACACACACACACACTCTCTTTTTTCTCAGCTTCTAAATTTTCAGTATAACACTCTATTTTCTACATATTTCTCATTAAATTGATTTTATTAACTACCTTTTTCTATTTATATACGGGGGGCTTCGGTGGCCGCAGCGGTTTTGGACTCATTAAGGATCCATTTTAAGATGTAACCTCTTTTGTGGCAGGCTGCTAGGTCGCAGGAGGGTTCTGGGCGCAGAGAGTCCATGTTGGCTCCCTTTTTGAACCCTTGCCACGGTCAGATCATTAGTGTCGCGGACTTCCGTCAGGTCATCCATGCGGTTCCAAACACTCTTTGCCTTCGCCTCGCATGAGGCTAGGGCCCTGAGTACTACCTGGCTGAAGCCAAGAAAATAGCTATTTTCTGGGAATGTATTCCTTTTTATTTCTCTGGCACATTGTTCAATCGCTGTGATTTCAGATTGGAAAACTGTAGCATACTTACCTAGGTTTACCGTCAGTTCGGTCTTGGGGTTCATACCAAAGACCCCCAGCTCCCGTACCCTTGTCCGTTTTAGAGCCGTCAGATTACCAATAGGAATTTGCCTTTAGTGGTGTTCCTTTGGCCCATTCTTCCCGTTCTGGTATCAGTACTGCGAACTTTTTGTTGGAGCGTCGGTGGCCGCAACGTTTTAGTCGTTGACAAGGCGTTCATCACTGTAAGGTGAAGGTCCCGGGTTCGAATCCAGCGGCCCTGCATTCGAGCCCGACATACTTACAAATGGGCTTTTTTTCAAAAACACCGGCACCCCGAGGGTTGATATAACCCCATGCTGCGAACCCTCGTTAAAAAAATCTTTCTATTTATAAAGGAAAAACCGTTTTCATGTGTAAATGTATTTCAACGGTTCTTAAAAAGGGCTGTCTCCAAAGCTTTTCTGCAAAGATATTTGTGCTTACAGTTAAAAATTAGGTTGTTGCCAGTGTAATTGTTTAACATTTACCACCCTATTACTATTAAAACAATTTTTAATATCAGTTTTTGTTTACAGTTGAACGCCACCGGCCAGACACACGAGGAGATCCAGCAGAGCAACACATTTAAGAGATTGATGCACATGGTCCAGACCGAAGGCGTTTATTAAAGGACGAGATGTTTAAAAAAATCTAATAATTAATTTGGCAAAACGGAAAAAAAGGATAACAATCACTTTTGTGATATTGTCGCTTTTTAAATTAATTGAGTCCGTTTTAATTATTTATTATACTTATAAATATTGTATTTAAGTTTTAATCTATTTAATGATTTTTTTCTCTTGTCTCTCGTTTTACATTAATTTATTTACATAGTAGTCTTTTTATTTATTTATTGGAGAGTGTGAAATCTAGTCAATCTAAGGGGAAATTAACTGTTTAACAACCGTTTCAGCATGTTGAATTTTCTTTTTTTCAAATTAATATGCTTACCATCGCCATCGACAATTCGTAATTGTACATAGAGGTTTTTTCTTTTAAGGATTTCGGTCAATTATAAATTACAAATATGTTTTAGGATTGTTTACTTTTTCTCTCTCTCACCATGGCAATTTTCACGAGGAAAATCTTTAAAATAAACTTATTTATTTAAAATAAACATTTAATGTGTCTTATTTCATTAACACCAATCTATTTGAATTTTTTCTTTTTTTTAAAATAGGTTTTTAACATAAAACAAAAAACAGTTTTACAATGAGACTTAATAGATAAGAGACGAATTACAATATAAAAGGGATTACACAAAACACTACCGATACGTTTAATAATTTAGGAGATTCATTTGGAACATTCACCGTTAATGTAAACCTTATGACTCAGGAATATTCCTAGGAATAAAATATAAACAGCAGAGAATAAATAATTTATAAAAAGAAAAGTTTTTTTAAAAATTTTAAATTAGAGATTATCAGGGTTGCGGACAGTCGCTCTTCTCAGTGTCGAAGTCACCGTGTCGATAATACTGCTAGATTCGTTTCCCCTGTTGACCAAACAGCAGCAGATCCATGAAAACGGAGGTAATTTGCTGAAAAAAAGAAAAAATTATAAAAAGTCTTTTTTTTTCGTTTTTATTTTTATTTTACCCAAGCGCCCTGCATATATGAGTAGAAAATAAGCAGTAGATGACAGGGTTGGCTGCTGAATTCAGCGGGGCGAGGCTCTGGATGAAAGTAGCCACTGCGATGTTGGTCTGCGTTCTTGGTACGTAGCCGAAAACTTGAAGGAGATCGAAGACGATATAAGGACTCCAACAAAGGATGAAAACTATAAAAAAACGCGTTGTGATTAGTGACCGTTAGTCGATGATTATTCTGAAATCGTGAGATGCGGTCTGGTGTGATGCAGGTTTCAGAACATTTTCTTTATCGTGCCAACGTTTCGATCTTTGAGATCTTCTTCAGGGCCTGGGATTTATAAACATTGTTAATTTATATCCAATTCAAAGTGTTGATTTTTTGCGTAATTGTGCCATTCTTGCGTGTCGTGTTGTATCCCAGTGGTACTCACAATTACGCAGAAAACCAACACCGAGTGAGTACAAATACTTTGATTGAATATAAAAAATATTTTTTGCATTGTATAAATTCACTTTTTTCCACATCCTACATATATTAGTTAAATTTAAACAATGTTTGTAAATCCCAGGCACTGAAGAGGATCTCAACAAAGATCGAAACGTTGGCACAATAAAGAAAATGTTTTTTCTGAAACCTACATCACACCAGACCGCATCTCACGATTTCCGAATAATCAACTATAAAAAACAACGATATTGTTATTATTATTTTTTAAATAAGAAGAAAAACCCACCGAAGACTATTACAAATGTCATTTTGACTGTTTTGATCTTTGCTCTTGGAATGATACCTCTAGAACTCGCTCTCCTGATGTCGTTCTCGTCGTGCTTGTCCCCGTCTGGAAAATTAAAATAAAATAAAATTTTGATAAAATTTGAAGGCAGTGAAGTCGGTACTTTTGAGAGGGGTTGACTGTTGGCTGTCGCGGGTGATGTGGACGCTTTTAGTCCATATCGTGTACACGATCACCGTGTAGCATCCTGTGATGACCACGGCAGGAATGAGGAAAAGTGTCAGGGCGACGAGGCTCATGTAGAGCTGCCACTTGAACGAAGATCCCAGCTCGATCCAGCACTGAGCGCTTCCTGAGTATTATAAAGAAATAGAATTTTTTTCGTTTATATTTGTTGAATATTTTTTTTACCCTGGATGAGCCTCTCTTCGTAAAGGAAGAGGATAGGCGACGAGAAGACGGCGCTGAGAGACCAAGCGAAACCGACTAGCAGCCGAGCGCGTCTCCCTGAAAAATCAAATCTGGGAAAACGTAAAGGTAATATTACTTCCTTTATAATTCGGCTACTCGCTTAAAGCCTGTTGCTTCTGGAAAACGAGCACTCGAGCGGATAAAACAAACGACTTACAGCTGCCTGAAAAATTCATCGGCCTCGTTATAGCGTCCAGCCTGTCCAGACTCAAAGCCACCAGCACGTAGGTCGAGGAGTATGTAACGACCGCCTGTAAAAACCAACCCTGCGTGGTATCGCTTTTGTTAAACGTAAAAAAACTGTTACCTGCATGAATCTGACCAGTTTGCAGACTGTGTTTCCGGCTTTCCAGGCCACTGTTATCCTCCAGATGATGTCCGTCAGAACGCTTATCAAGCCGACTGACAAGTCTGGAACGGATTGGAGCTCTGAGGTTTTCAGGATATATCGTCTTTAGTTTATCTTACCAGCGAGTGCAAGGTGCATTATGAAAAAGTTCATCCTTGACTTGCTCGTCTTGCTGAAGAGGAGGGCGAGGAGGACCGCCGAATTGCCGAGGACGATAGCCGCGAACAGAAGCCATAACACCGTGAACTGTTCAGTCTGCAAAACAATTTCAAATTATTAAATTATGTCTTATTTGAATGAACTTGAGACGTCCACCCTCGTCCAAGTCTAACTTGCAAATTGCATACCCTCGTTCCGTTATAACAATTTAGTTTGGGACATTAAGCGTTTCAACTTGGTCCAGCCGACCAAACTTAAAGCATTATCTGCTATGAGAATTAGTTTGGCGGCCGACCATGCATTACAATCAATGAAAGCCATCAAATCGCAATATCCCTTCATATAATAATACAATTGAAAGGTGAATATTTATGCCGACTTTGCAATACCAATTGGCAATCCATTTGCATGATTATATATGCATTTAACCACTGCTATAATTAATTTTTTCACTCTCCAGTAAGAAAGTCGTCACATGGACGGAATACTCAGCAGGGTCGTAGGGACTATGACGAGAATCATTAAAATATGGATAGAATTTTTTTTTACTTTTAAGTTTAAGACAACTACATTGGTCATCACCAGTCCTCTTTTCCTTACCTTTAAATTTATTTTCTTATCTTTCACTCGTTTTAAGTCTACTAATTTCTTTTAATGTTTCTCCTGACCAAGAAAAAGCCGATACATTTTCTCGACATCTTCAAGAAACCTTCAATCCTCATTTTGAGCCCGGCAATGCTTCAATGGAAGCAGATATTGACGAATACCTTATATCTCCCCTTCCTATGTCACTCCCTCCGAAAGCCGTCACTCGCGCCGAGGTCAAGTATATCCTGTCTCGTTTAGCGAACCGCAAAGCTCTTGGTTTTGACCTGATAACATCCAAAATTCTCCAAAAATTCCCTAAAAAAGGGATTCCTAATTCCTCACACACCTCTACAATTGTATACTCCGCACTACCCATTTTCCCTAACTTTGGAAATATTCTAACATCATCCTCTTCCTGAAAACTGGCAAACCAGCTCAAAAATCCTGATCTTATCGACCAATTAGTGTACTTCCCATCATGTCCAAATTATTTGAAAAAATTCTCCTTAAACGGGTATGGCCACAATTAAAGTCTAAACTCCTCCCCGATCATCAGTTTGGCTTCCACCCCCACCATTCCACAGTCCAGCAGGTGTTTCGCGTTGTTGACCGTATATCCTCTTCCCTCGAGCGCAAAGAATATTGTATGGGAGCTTTCCTTTTGACCGTGTGTGGCACAGGGGACTCCTGTTCAAATTAAAGCGTGTCCTTCCAAATACTTTTTACCTAATCCTCCGCTCTTATCTAACAGAGCGGTTCTTTCGGGTCCGACAAGGATCAGATTACTCCGAATACTGCTCTCTGGCTGCGGGAATACCGCAGGGCAGTGTGCTCGGACCAATCCTCTACATCCTTTATACTGCAGATATTCCCACTAAACCTACCACCCTACTTGCATCCTTCGCCGATGATACAGCTGTACTATCTTCCAATTCCGATCCTGCGGTCTGCAGGAACATATCTCATGTATAGCAGATTGGTGTAGACAATGGAAAATGAAGATAAACGAAAGCAAGAGCGTCCATGTCACATTTACACTCCGAAGCAAACCTCCTCTCACGATATACTACAACAACGTTCCTATCCCCAAATCCGACTGCGTTCGCTACCTTGGGTTCCACCTAGACTCACGACTAACGTGGAATCAACATACACGACTGACACGATAAAAACTAAACAGACGGTATGGTCTAGTGCACAGACTTATAAGACGACAGCCTAAACTATCGACAAAAAACAAACTTACAATATACAAAACACTACTACAACCGATTTGGACGTACTGAATAGAACTGAGGGGAACCGCTAAACCTTCCAATATCCAACGTCTCCAATCCTTTCAATCTAAAGTCCTCAGATCCATTGTAAATGCTCCTTATTATGTCTCAAATGCTACCCTCCACAACGACCTTCAAATTCCTTATAGCCAAAAATTTATTCCCCAAAAATTTACCAAGTTTCACCAAAAACTCTCCCACCATCCAAATAGTCTTGCCCAAGCCCTGCCCGATAGAACCCATCCCTACAACCCCATAAGGCGTCTTAAGAGGAAATGGCCCTGCGACCTCCTTTCCGAGTAAACTGTAAAAAAAAAAAAAAAGTGAAGAGGGAGGATAACATTGATTATTTTCTCCCCTCAATGTAAATAGCTGTACATAAGTTCATGTATCCGCAAATTACATATTGTAAATAATAATTACAGATTGTAATAAAAATAACTAATAATAATAATTTAAAAAAATGTTTCTCCATTTTTTTTACGAGGGTTCGCACATTGCTTCCCGTATACTCGGTCGTCCTTAAAAGGACAATGAAGATATTTAGCGTTCGTACCTGGATCATGGCCTTATCGGACGTTTTGATTCTCAAGATGAGAGCTGACGCACCTCCGCATACGACAGAAGTGTGTTACTACCGCAGGGTGTGGAGGTAGCTCAGCCCCGAGGGGCTTCCCTCTTGCCGATTCCGAGTGGTCGGGTCTGCATTAAGCATCAGACCGTATGCCGCGCGGAAAGGGCTACCTAAACCGAAATACATCAGCCTGGTTTCCCGCGCACTCCCTAGATAGAGAAGTCCACTCTAACTCCCAGAGTAGTAGGGCTTCCCCAGCGTAGAAACTACCAGATCCGTTCCGGCCGCAGTTTTGTTTAAATTGGAATTGCTGAACACCCCCTAGAGGAGACTGCCTACGGTAAAAGCCTCCAATCGAGCTCAGCCTATACCTATGTGCAAAGCATACTCGAGTAGGAGTAACCGATTCACTACCCGTTCCCATCTGCCACTACTCACGCATTCGAGGAACTTTTCAGCATAATCCTAGCGTCCTCAACGCTTACACGCTGCCGTCCAATCCGCCGTATCCCGTGAGGCCGGGTGTATAACGATGATCATGCGCAAGTTTCGTGCGAAGGACACAGACAGAAGACATTCCATTGTGACAGGGGCTGAAAATTAGTACATTTCTGTTACCCCATAGTACACATGGTTATACACCCCTCCCCCGACTATGCAGATAGGATCTGATACCAGAACCCTCGTATGCTTCTGATAAGGCACCCGCCGCCCCATGCCGACCCGAGGCCGACACGAGTACAGCTTGTGCTTTAGAGAGGTTGCCACGCCCTCAGGGCTGCACCATTATTTTGCGCCCGGACACCCCACTTGTAACCAAGGGTTGTGAGGGGTCCCAGGGAAGAATGAATGAACCTGGAGTGAGAAAGGGACGTGGATGAGGACACGAGGTACACCTTTCTTGGGCCACGCTAACCTACAGCCAGAAACACACTTACCCGATGCTACGCCATGCGACGCTACCCGATGCTACCCGACGCAAATCCAAACTCCGATTTTCCATAAGGTTGCATTACCCCCGTGCACATCTACCCGATGCTACCCGACGCAAATCCAAACTCCGATTTTCCATAAGGTTGCATTATCCCCGTGCACATCTACCCGATGCTATGCCACGCTAACCTACAGCCAGAAACATACTTACCAGATGCTACGTCATGCGACGCTACCCGATGCTACCCGACTCAAACCCAAACTCCGATTTTCCATAAGGTTGTATTACCCCCGTGCACATCTACCTGATGCTATGCGATCCCCACTGTCCAGATTTACGTCGGGTCGCATCGAGTACAGTCGTGAGACAAAAGAACCGGACACTCATATTTTTATTCAAACTACATGTATTATTGTCGTTATATTAATTACAACATACTTATTTTAATATAAACCAAATTAAACTGTGATTAAAAATTAATTAGTTTTTATTTAAAAAATTAATTTTAATGGTTTGGTAGAAAATTAATCAAAACACCGGAATACGATTTTTTTATATAATGAATTTAACTAACAATTTATTGTACTCGCTTCGGCGGTACATATACTAAAATTGGAACAATTTATTACAGGGGTTTGCTCATAAAATTTAATTAACAATTTATTTCGGTTTTGCTCGTAAAATTACACAATTTTCGTCGGTTAGCATGAGAACAGGTCGCTCATATTTTTTGTAGTTTATTTCGAACTAACTACATGTAATTTTGTTGTTATATTAATTACATGTTATTTTAATGTAAACCAAATAAAACGAGATCAAAAATTCATAAGTTTTTATAAACATTGTTTAATTAGATGGTTAGGAGTAACTTTATTTAAAATAATTAAGTTTAACAAACAATTTATTAGATGGTAGTGCTCATAAAATTTAACTAACAATTTATTACAAGGTTTTGCTCAAAATAGTGCATTAAGAAAAAAAGATGCGTTGCGATTGTGATAGTGATTATTGTGGTAAACGCTGTAGACTGTACGCGACGTGTACTTGCGTCGGATAGATGTGCACACCCCACCAAAACGTGGCAAGGCGTCGGGTAGCGTCGCATGGCGTAGCATCGGGTGTGTTCCTGGCTTAAACCACATTGTACCACCCGTCGTCGTAGTTCTACATTAAGTGGGCCACGATTCCCTGGGTGGATAGGGTTCGCAACAGGGTTCATAAAACCCTCAGGGTGTCGGTGTTTTTGAAAAAAAAAAGCCCATTTGTAAGTATGTCGGGTTGGAATGCAGGGCCGCTGGATCAACCTTACAGCCTAAACCGTTGCGGCCACCGACGCCCCTTTCTTCTTTACCCTATTGCTAGCTTCTCTGTAAACCATGGCCCAATTGTGTATGAAACAACATAAATCATAAACACAAATACATAGACACAAGATAAAAAAAGATCTCATTAGCATTCACGCTGCACTGACTACTGGATATTCCTCAATTAATTTGAGATAAAACCTGCAGTTAAATATATTCGTTCCAATAATACATATCACATACATGATACAGAATTAAAAATATTTATGGCCCTGAGAGATTTGAACAGCGATCTGTGCCTGCTGCCCCCAAGTGCGCGCATAGGTCGGATGCCTTATTTCTTTCTTGACAGACTTACTAGAAGACGACCAAATTGATGGGTCACGGATTTGTAACCAAATTTTTTTAGTGAATCTACA